ATATTTTTATTTTTTTAGTTTGAAAAATCGCTGACTAAATATATTTAAATTTTAATTAAAATAAATGTTATCAAAAATCTTTTTTAAATGTAATTATTTTTTTGTAAATATAAGTACTTTTTTGTTATATTTGTTTAATTTTATAGATCTATATACTTTTTGGTTCGAAAAATGTTTAGGGACTTAATCGTTCAAAATATGAATGTTCATTGGAGTTTTTTTCCGGATTTTTTCACTATTTTACCGCATTAACTAGTTGTACAAATCAAAAGAATGTATCCAACTGGTTTTAGAAAAGTCTTAGGAGTTATTTAACATGTTTTGGATTGTGCAATGACTTATTTGTTCCAAAAAATTGTCCAATAAGTTATTTAACATGTTTTAAATTGTCCAATAACTTATTTGTTTCAAAAAATTGTTCAAGGGGCTATTTAACATGTTTTGGAATATCCAATGACTTATTTGTTCCAAAAATTGTCCAATAACTTAATCATTCCAAACACTAAAATCCATTGGGATTTTTTAGACTTTCCCCAAAAAAAAATATCTTATCATGATTATAAGAACCCTCTAAATAATTTTGTATCTTGATTTTTGGTTCTCTTTTAACCATTCAGTGTCCTAATTTCATTATTAACAGTTACTAAACAATTATATTTCATTTTTGCATTATTTCATAAGAGTTTTTTAATTATTCTGACCACTTAATCATTCTACATCAAACCATTCAGCAAATGTCAAACAGTTCATAATGTCAAGTTGGTATTTTACCTGATTTCATCATATTTATTTGTAATAATGTTTTAAAATATGTTAAAAGCATTTATTTTATAATAATTAATTAATAAAAAAAAGTGATTTAATTGTTTTTATAATTATTTATTATTTGTTTTATAAATAATATGTAAATAATATAACTTAATTATGTTTCAAATTTTACAAACCTTTGCATAAAATTTAAATCTTTCAATTTGTGAATGGTTTAATTGAATGGTTCTGAGAGATTTATATTTCGTGGAAGGATTTTAATTTGTGATTTTTGTTGTGTTTGGTTTGTATAATTTGAAACAGTTTAAGTTTTATATTTTATATATAATTATAAAACAGATTATGACAAAATAAATGTTTTTAACATATTTTAAAATATTATTACCCACAAATCTTATGAAATCTCATTAAATATATGTTTAATTGATTATGTGTAAATTTGTTTTTCAACACAAGTTTAATTGAAATCTTTATTGAAAAAATGAGAATAAATAAAGCATGAAAATATTTGATAAAAAACTGATTATCGGTAATTTTAACTGACCATGTATAAATCTGTCTTTAAATGTGCATTTGGTACACTGGATATGACAGAACAGACCAAGGATCATGTTCTACGTTTGGCAAGATTTTATGTTCAACCACTCTCCCATGAAACATAGTGGAACATAGTTATATTTTACCAATATAACTTCAAAATAGATTTTATTTCTCTTATAAAACATCAAATATTTCTTTTTTTATATTTTATTCAATTTTAAAATTTATTTATCATATTTTATGTTTTTTAAACTTTTATTTTACTGTCCTTAAGATATTATTTTTATTAATTTATAAAATTTATTATATAATAATAATAATAATAATAATAATAAACAACGTAGAAAATGGATTAAAATAAAAGTGGAAACTACATAAACTTTTTATTTGGTGTCATTTTCATTGTTTTGATGAAAACTTTATAATAATACATTTTGTTATAAAAAATAATTATTTTATTATAATTTAATATATCACATATATTAATCAAAATATATAAACAACTTATTATGAGTAAATTAGTCATTTTATATGGTTTGTTCTGTTTATTATTGTTTTATCCTGTTATGTCCTATCTTGGCTTATCATATCCGGCTTCATTCAGAGACTGAAGCTAGCGAGGGATCTGGAATCGAACTCGAACATGTCTTGTATTTTTGACAAAATTACCTCATTCATCTGTCAACTGAGCTGCATATCAGAGGCAATAAAGCATGAAAATATTGTTCTAAACCAAGTTTAGACAATAATTTTAACTTGCAACCCGGTTGTTCATCAACAAAGGCACAAAGGTATAATCGTTCATGCCTAAATATGGACAATCAGTTTATTCGGGTTGGGTTTGTTTTCTTTCGGACAATCCAACTCCAACCTCCATTAACGAGGGTTAATGCTATTTTTTCAATCAGATAGCCAGTTAGTTATCTTGGTTGCAGTCTTTCAAGGATTTTAAGTTGGATTAGACTGGTTGATGAGTTTTTCGTGTTTCATACATGAAAGCATCACTAGCTTACGCTCTGACTCGAGTAACATGGGACATGGTATTCCAAGTTATTTATTGACACGAACAAAGTCAGGAAAACCCTGTGAAAATTTTTTAATATTGAACCTTGCACATATTCTAAATATTAGAATATTCATAAAAAAATCATACAATAAAACAAAATCTTCCTATAAATTGTGTTTTAATTGTTTTTGGTAACAATAATAAAATAAAATAAAATACATTTTATATATATAATTTTTATGGAAATCTATTTTTTAGAATTAATATGTATTTTTATTTTATATTATGTTAAATATTTTATTTATTAAAAAAAATCTTAAAATCACTTTATTACACTTGAAAGGAATAATGTTTTGATAATTAATTTGAATGGCGAGCAGAAATACACGTGGATATGCGGCCACGTTTTGTAAATTTGCCACCACATGTTTAAGGGGTCGTTTACCCAAACAATTATTCGATAAATATTTACCGGTAAAATTTAACACTATCATTTATTTATCGGGTAAGATTTTATTCACTAAAACGCATCATATGCAACAATTTATCCCGGCAAGCGCTAACCATGGTAAAAGTTCTCGTCCTCATTTACCGGGTAAAACTCTCGATTATTGTCTGCGTTCTTATCGGAAAAGATTTTTAGTCCTTGACATATTCATCCGGTAAAGTAAAGTGACTTGGTAAGCGTTTACCCAAGTAAATGTTTGGTAAACGGCACCTAATTCATCATTCATTTTAAATAAATTAATGTAAACAACAATTTTGGTCCTTTTTTTTAGTAAGTTTTAAAATTAAAAGAGGATAATCATGATTTGTAAAAATATTTGAATTTGGTCTTTTATTGTAACGACTATTAAAAACTTTATTAAATAAGAAATATTTTTGTCTTTTTATCGATTTATTTCTTGTTATCTACCGAATCAAGAACCACAAGGATCGAATTTTGTTATAAAAGAAAAATCATCCAAAATAATCAATTTATATATGGTACATTAACAAAATGACTATTTTTCATTTATTTTTTTTTCATAAAAATCAGCCCTGGAGGATTATTTGGGGTTTGAGGGTACCGATGGGTCTCACATACATACCATTTGGAGGATAAAAATCTGATTTTTTTACCATTTTATATGAAATGGCGCTTTACTATTGCAAATCGCCCCCGGGGGCGATTTTGACTATTTTTTCTTCATATAGTAAAGACATTTTATGACACAACTTTTTTGTTAATTTGATAACTCAATGACGATGTGACTAGACATAGGAGGTGATTTTCATTAGTATTTTGTCTTATTTACGAAACGATTTTGTATAAAATGTCCATATGAGGGGACCATTTCATCACCATCAACTTTCACCAACACCATAGTAATATATTTCTTCGGATTAAGAAGGGGAAGAGGGGTCCACACATTGCATCACCCAATTAATTAAGGATGGATTTCGATGTTAGTTAGATATATCTAACCATGAGTCGAAACACGTCTCTCTAAACATCTGCAACCTCTATGGATTATTCTTTAATTTTTCGTTAATTTTTTTATAACTTGTATGTGTACTTTTAACGTCATTAAACATTGGTAGAACACCTATTGAAAAAAAATCATAA